TTTAAACGGTTTAATAACTTTAACTTATTGAGGTCTTTGTGGCTTTTACACTTTAATAATTGCTCATGGGCTGTGCTGTCTCTTATACACATCTAGATGTGTATAAGAGACAGATCAGGGTGTGTTTACACAGTCTAGAGTTTGAGCCAATAATTTTATTTTTAATTTCATTTTATTTTGCCATATTTTATTTTGTAATATTTTCTTTATTTATTTTATATTTCTTCTTTATGCATTATATATTTTTTGCTATTGTTGTAAAAAAAAATTTAAGCTAATTAATTCTAAGTCAGTCTCCAATTAGTTCCAAAACGTGATTCAATTTAAGTTGATAAGTATAAAACTACTCATAAGTATGTATATGAGTTTGTGTATATGAATACATAGTATATGCGTACATTTGTATGTTCCACTGTAGTACACTTTTGGGCCGCATGTGACCATGTAAACGTGCATAGACGCAACTTTCAAATGCGGTTTGCATTAGCTATAGATCGGACACGCGTGTAATGAATGCCTAGTGATTCTCTTACGTTACATTTGTTTATTGAAATTGTTATTGTTCTTACTACGAATGTTCACCCTTTTGCTTGTTTAGTGCACTTGAGTTCTGGTTTGTAATTTAGAACGCTCGGCGATGTGCACTAGTTGCTTTGGCACACACGTGTCTCGCACTATCGCTGTGTAAATGCAAGTCAGATAGATATTTACAAAATAATTGCGCCTACTTGCCGCTGACACTGACAGTGAAATGCTCACAGATATTCACATACATACCCACCATATACATGTGCATACATACCGAACACAGATACGAGTGCATAGTGCTGCTGCAGCACAACTTAAGCGCAGCCAATGTCGCCAATGCCGCCCGCAGCAGCGGGATTTACAAGTGCCGTCAAGGTGTGCGCCTACAGCATATTTATATCTGTATCAATACGCGCGCGCATACCCTGCGAGAAATGTTGCCCGAACTAGGTATATGAAATCAATAACATAAACGAAAGTGTTAAGCTAATCCACAAGAGGGATAGAATTGAAATTGATTATATGGGTAGTCGAAAAAGTATTTTCGTATTTTGTCGTATATTTTCAGTGCTTCCATTTACATTGTGTCATAGCATATTGTGTTGGAAAGAAGAGGTTTTAAGCTTCATTTAACCAGAAGAAATATATTCGGGGAAGTTGACGAAAAGTTGATGAAGAAATTCGTTATATGTGACCTGGTCTACGAAAAGGGAGCTAACGTGCGAAAACTA